GCCGCGGCAGCGTCTCCGGCTTCGCCCTGGCCGGACAGGGCCACGCAAGAGCCGCTCCCCAAGTGTTGGGCTCGGGGACCCCCTATCCCCGCCCTACCCCAGCGCGGAGGTCTCGGACAACTCACAGGTGAGCGCAGAAATGCGCCCCGCGCCCTCCCTCCCCCCGCGGCGTCGGGCCGAGCCTCGGAGCCTGCGTGGAAACACAAGAGTTACTGGGCACACAGTTTAAGGTAGAATTCATATTTATTTAAATATTTATCAAGTACTCAAAAAATTATTACACTTGAGCATACAAAATGAATCCAGTTTCTAATAAGGATGATTGAAATCCTTGCATTAGACTTACATCCCCTTTTTTTTAGTTTTCCCTCTACTGTCGAAATGGTTTGTCCCTATCGCTGAGCTTGCTCAGGGTGGGCTGAGATAGTGAGGAGGGAGGAAAAAGAAGGTTATGTTAAGAAAACATTAGCCTTTGGAGTAACTGTCATACAAAGCAACTTGTCTTTGTCAGACAGAAAATCTCTGTATATTCCAGTTGTTTAGGATTTTTTTTTTAAGCGAGCCTTTGTCTGGTGCTGGCCTGGAGCACTAGGGAATATTGGTTTGGAGGAAAAACAACCATTTTCTATTTTTTTCCTACTTCCCCCCCCAACACCACCCCCCACCCCGAGAAATCGCCCACACTTCTAGCTTTCACCACCCCCTCCCCCGCAAATTAAAAAAGGAAGAAAAGAGGGAGTGAAGAGAGGGAAGTCGACAGAAAATAAGGAACACCGATCGTGCAATTTCACAGCAATATCCCCTCGATCCTATTTCTCCTGCAGCATTTCTCAGTCGTTTTGACAGCAGACACTGATAAATAATGGTCATACTTGACTTGTTAAGCAAAAAGCGTCCCTTTTATCAGGAGCTTATACTTAAAGTACAGGTCACTTCAACAATCTCAACAACGAGGCTTTGGTATACAGCACTTTATTTTTTTTAAAAAAAAATAATAATAAAAATAACAGAGCCCAGCAAAAAGCCTGATAGGGCAGGTTTTTTCTTTTTTTTTTCTTTTTCTTCAGCAAACAAAAAATCGAGTCAAAAGACATGAAAAGTGGCAAGTCTTCCGATAATAAATAATAAATTACTTTATAATTTTGCAATGCAAGAGCAAACAAATAGGGCAGGTTTTTTCTTTTTTTTTTCTTTTTCTTCAGCAAACAAAAAATCGAGTCAAAAGACATGAAAAGTGGCAAGTCTTCCGATAATAAATAATAAATTACTTTATAATTTTGCAATGCAAGAGCAAACAAATAGGGCAGGTTTTTTCTTTTTTTTTTCTTTTTCTTCAGCAAACAAAAAATCGAGTCAAAAGACATGAAAAGTGGCAAGTCTTCCGATAATAAATAATAAATTACTTTATAATTTTGCAATGCAAGAGCAAACAAATAGGGCAGGTTTTTTCTTTTTTTTTTCTTTTTCTGTTTTTTTTTCTTTTTTTTTTCTCTTTATTTCTAGAGAGAGAGAGAAGAGAGAGAGAGAAAGAGACAGAGAGAGGGAGAGAGAGAGAGAGAGAGAGAAACGGTCTTTTTAAACAATGACTATACACATCTTTGGGGGAGGGGAAGGTTCTTGGACGAACACATTTGAAACACAGTCCCGAGACGCTTTGTGGCAAAATAGAGGTATACCTTGTTGCAACGCTTTTATAAATTGGTTCTGAAAGAGGAATTTAAAAACCTATTTTTAATCGCGTCAGACTTGATAGAGGATGGATCTCAACCAAACAAAAAATCAAAACCCCGCTACAGTACATGCTATAAAAGATGCAGGAAATATTGCCGTGTTAAGAGTCAACTTAAAACAAAGAAACAAACAAAACAACAACAACAACAACGAAAAAACCCACCATTGCAAACCAAACCAACGCAGCTCCACCTTCCTGCAATGAATCTTTCAACAATGCGGGGCTAAATTATTTCTTTCCTGATGATGGAAAACCTATTGGAGCTCCTTTTGGCAAGGCAATGAGCAATATAGAAACAGCACCATTCAGATTAGGATGGACTAGATAGAAAGTCCCTCTACCTTGGTTTCTCTCTAAGACATACAGTCAAATAAAAACGAATTTATTTATCTTTTTTTCTTTCTTTTTTGAGATCCACGAGTACAAATCCTCTGCATTTTGAAATCGTCTCTTCAATCCTCCTCTGATCATTGAATAGCGTGGGCTTTTGTTTTATATTTATTCTAGTAAGATCCCATGATTGTCTTCACAGTGTTGCTACCATATTACCTTGTCATTTCGAAAAAGACTCTGTTCATCTCATGGAGTGGTTCTTTGCTAGGTTCATTAACAGGGTTGTTAAATATTTTTCCCCCTAAATTTCGGAGTCCCAACGTGATCACTTTCCCACTCTCTCCAACAGGGGTGAGGGTAAGGGCAGAAACAACAACAACAGAAATCTGAATTAATGTTCCTCATGCCTCAATAGGACTGGCTACCATGCTGTTGGGTGTATCTGGGAGCTGAGAGGACATTGATGCTACTTCACTTCCAGTGGAATTGGAACCAGGTCCTCCTTCTGAAAAATTAACCTGCCAAAAAAAAAGGAAGAAAAATAGGAAAAAGTAGAATCGTTACAATTGTAACAATCAAAGAAAAGTAGCAAGAGGGGCAAAGAAGATAACAAAAATAAATATACAGGCCAAGAGGCCTGGTCCATCTCAGCAGGAGGCTGTGTCACTGTTTGTTGTTTTGTTTAGTTTCCACACTGACTTCACTAGAATCTTCTTCAGGCCTTCGGTCAAATAACTGAAGAAATCAGACCAGGAAAAAAAAATCAAGTAAACAAACAAACAAATATTTTAATGACGCCTTCTTCCACACCTTGCAAGAGTGGCAGTCCCAACAGGATGTTCTAGTCAATTATTTAGGAGTTCAAGTGTTTTCTGACATGAGACAGAAAGGTTATTTCTTCCCCTTTTTCCATATACTACACTAAACCTGGGGCAAATATTCAGGAGCAGAAGGCACCTTCCTTTAAGAAAACCTCCTTTCGGTCCAAATGCTCTTTGGAAGGGATGGCATCTCTTTCTAGCAAAAGTTAGTTGTGGAGGAAAAATAAATAAATTTTTAAAAAATAAAATAAAATAAAAAGGTTTGTCCATTCTAACAAGCCCTGTAACTCCTGTTAGGTCAGGCTCAGCCTTGGGAAGGGACGTTTGAAGGATATAGCCTTCCTAATCCACATGCAATTCCTTGGCACCTATTTACCTGGCCCACCCCACTATTAAAGCCCTTTTGAGATTAGAGATGGGCAAACAGTGGCATGAATAGTGCCTGAGCTAACTGTTCTGTCCACAGTTCTTTAACTATTTGTCTATATGAGGCTCAAAACACATCAACATCCATCTCTCTATCCATATGCATGTGTCTGTTTGGGATATCTACCTTCAATTCTGCTTTTAGACCTATTCTTTAGAAAAAAACTGCATCAGAGCTTTTAAAGTCTTGTTGTGTTAAGGCACAATAAATAAGGTAGCCGAAAGAGATCATTTTTTTCTTGAGTCTGCTCGACAGCTTGATTAAAAGAAGAAAAACAGTGGCAGCTCTGGAGGAAAGGTGGTACAAGCGGCTGTGCTCTGGAGCACACAGTGTGCCGGGGGAGCCTGTGAACTAGCCATAGCCCAGAAAAGAAAAATCCTGGAAGAGTGGGACACTAAGCTGAAACAGCCTGAAAACATTTCTTGGTATAGCTGTAAATCCTTATTTTGTGTTAATTCATGTTGTAGAAAAACACCAACCAATCAAAAATGATCTATATAGTAATGTTGCACCATTAGTTATTACTCTGAATCACTGAAAGACCATACACAACGTACCTTATTATTTTAAAGATCTGGTTTTAACACACTTAGGCCAGGAAATTGAGTTAAGGTTGAACTTCTGTCCTTAATTCACCTTGTTGGGCCTAAGTATTGCAGATGATATGGTCCCATATGAGCTGCCAAATGATGTAGGCATAAGGAAGTGAGTTAAGAACAGAAATTATTCTAAAATGTCTGTTTTCTTTTGGCTTAAGGCAGTCCATCATATTTTTTGCTTTTGCATGTGACCACGTATTAACAATTCCCTTCCAAGGCACAACATACGTAAGGAGATATAAATCTCTCTCTCTCTCTATATATATATATATATGTTTCCATATATATATACATGCATATGTGTATTTATCTGTATTTATATCTGCAGAAAGTTATACCCAGAGGTACACCTGTAAAACAAGAGTTTCAGTAGTTCAATTAAACTATTTCTGTTTGTGTGAGAAAACAAGGATACAGGCTGATATTGCAATCATGTGATTAAAATACATTCTATATTTTAAAGCTGAAATTTGTTGGGGATCAATTTTAGAAACTGCTTTCATAAATATATATAACACTAAATGATACAAGAATAATGTTTTTGTTCTCTGGATAGCGGTGCTTTCGGGTTTTCAGGGGTAAGTGAGCTGAAGTAGTTTCAGGGCTGGGTCAGGCCTTACCCAGATTCTACTCAAACCAATAAGAACTCTACTGTTGACAATGGCAGGTTTTTCATCGAGCCCTGCTAAATCACTTGAATTTGCTGCATTTATGCATTTTCACATTATCGTAATCGCCCACTTCGTACTTTCAGGAAAACTCGGCTAGTCTGAATTGCTCCATCTCTCTGAGGGCATCTGTCAGCTTTAGAGAATCCCCCATGGCTCTGCCCCTGGGTAGACACCGGCCTATTTAGGCTGGGAACTGACACTTACTAGTTGCTGAAAAGCAGGTTGATCTATGTCACTCTGCAATGCGAAGTCACTCAGTACTTTCCAAGGCGGCTGGTAACTCTGCACCTCCACTGGGTTCGCCTGTAAACCACCATCGTGTCTCTCAGGACTAGCAGCCACCATCGGAGTTCCTGTCATCCCTTGGATATTCTGTAAACAGCCCAGCAAAAGATGTTAATGAGCTTGGTTAACTTTATTGTATATAAGCGCTGCGTCAATAAACTGCTTTCTACCTTATCTATACAGTCGCTTGTATTTGCTTTGTTAATCTGCTGTGAATGTCTTACTCTATTCTGCTCTAGACCAGGCTATTTCTACCCGCTGCATTTATCACTGTGGAAGTTTACCTTCTTTCCCTTTAATCCTCGTATTCTTCCCAAGGCGAAAGAAAGAAAGAAAGAAAGAAAGAAAGAAAGAAAGAAAGAAAGAAAGAAAGAAAGAAAGAAAGAAAGAAAGAAAGAAAGAAAGAAAGAAAGAAAGAAAGAA